AGACAGGGTTGTGTCATAGGACCCACCATTGAATGCGTGATGTTGTAGCTTCACTCCCCTGTGGAGCACTCTCTTCTCTGAAGGGGTCGCGCTGTCTCGAGTCAGAAACGCAGAGTATGGCTGGTCCTATGACGACTCCATCAAACATAGCATAGGATTAGCGGTTAGGGACGCGTCCCCTTGAGGGAAGGATAGGATATAGTCCCATATCTAACCCAACACTTGGTGGATAGCACACCACTAATATCAAGATGTCGCAGATTGCTACCGTTATCTATCTATCTATGCTACCGTTATCTTGGTTTATAACATCTTCTAGATAGAGGTTTAACTATTGTGATGGCAAAGCATTCAAAGAGCTTCCACTATGCGATCACACCACGTTTCTACTCATATGCAACCCGATTTCAAAATAATAGGAAAGAATACTAGGAAAATGAAAGCTAAAAAAAGTTGTGAAAGTCGTAAGTACGAAATTATGAATAAGAAGAGGAGAAATGAAGTACCGAATTTTGTTTTCAGTGTTTCGAATGCTGCTGTTATATCGGCATAAAGATTCTTCTCCGACGGCCTTCCTGTTGAACACCCGTACCCTGAAAAAAGATGAACACCTGCACATCTGCCCAAATCCAAATAAATGCAATGAGAAAGGATAGAAAGAGATTTACCGGAATAATCGTAGCTAAACACATTACAACCAAGGCGATGGCCAAGGCCCCAGTAAAATGATGTCATTTGACCGATGTCTACAGCGTTTCCGTGTGAAAACAGTAGTGTAAAGTAAGCATTTGGTACAGGACGCACATAAACGCATGAAATTTTGTTTCTTCTTCTAGTTCTGAAAAACCAATTTTGTATGCGAAGATGGAGAGGTCAGCAAGAATATTACGCTCTCATTTAGCACACCTCGCCACAAACATCTCGACATTGGTAACAAGATGATCGGGATCATGAGGCCATTCCGCACGACCTTCCAGCAAATGTAACCTTGAAATAAGGAAATCTCAAATGTAGGTAAGATGCCAGAATAAAACACACCTATTGTTCTCCGTGATTGTGTAGCTGGATTCAGGTGGCATGAAAGCCAACTTCGAGACAATCGAGGAAGGAAAGGGCGGGCAACAGAACAAACAGCATAGATACCTGAACAAGAAATGGAGATCACGTTTATCAAAAACGTGGCATCGAAACACTCACCTTACTGAGACTCTACCAGCGGCCGGAGGGGAAGCCGCTCCCATCCCCACGTCGGAACCAGTACACTGCCCAGACATAATTTCGACTAAGGAACTGAACTGGTTGAAACCCTGTAATTGAACAGTGTCGAACCAGACCTCACACAATAAGAGCGCGACGCTGTAAAAAATCTCAAGGCTGGAGGCACTGTGAGTTCCGAATTCAAAAGAGAAAAGAATTCCGTTGAGTCACAGGATTACGTACTTCTGACTAATGATTAAAATCGCTACTATTGGGCGCTCTCATTGTCGGTCGCCGAACGTACCCACGAAAGCACAGCCTTAGGTACCTATCGATCGTCCGACCGTGCGTCACAATCGATACGTACCTAATGCTGTGCGATCGTTACGATCGGACGACCGACTATGGAAGCGCCCTTTAGTGCAGACCAATGACGATAGTCGGGCAGCAGTGTGACGACACACAAAGGCTATCCACCCCCGCTCATTGAAATGCCACCAATGTATTTTCCAATTCATCCCGAGAGATCATTTTTATGCAAACACAGCTATCCAATACCAAAATTTGATGAAACAAGAAAATGACAAAATCTTCAAAAGATGAGAAACTCATGCCTCAACAAATTCTTTTTTCGAGATTAATTTCGTTTTGCAATTTCCAGTTACTTCCTTTCTCTTTCTATGAGGAATGGCTTAGACTAAAATGAGATGTTAGCTAAATGAAGGCATAGTAGTTCACAAGAGCTAAAATGTACATAAGATCTTGTGCCAAATATGAAATCCTGGCGCTATTGCACTATAGGGGGCACCTTCTAAGACAGCCCAGGAGGGGATGGGAACCCCAGGAAAATAAAAATGGCTCACTCATTAAGAGCCTCTCCCTAAGGCTAAGTCAGTTCCAACGAAAAGGACGTGCTTTATGCAGCCATGAATGCACTCTACCACAATACTCCCCTCCCCGCTCATTGCGATAACGTCAAAATTCTTTCCCGAGAAAAGAACGTAGGGATCAAAAGTGTCCAAGAAATTCGACAGCTTCCCGATCAATAAGAATATCTACTGGGCGCTCATCCAGTAAGGGGGGCATCAAGTGGCTGCCCTCACCCCCACCCCCTAGACTGCCTACACTCCCCCTGGCGCACAGGTTTCTCGAAGTACGGGACCCCGTGAGCCAGGGGGAGTGAAGGCAGTCTAGGGGGTGGGGGTGAGGGCAGCCACTTGACGTTGCATCACAATGCCCCCCCCCCCCCCTTACCGGATGAGCGCCTATCTACTGTTCTATTTTGGAAGTATTACAGAATAGATGGCTCCTTGAGCTTTACTGAACTGAAAAATGTAGCGATGGTTATTGATGAGAACCGCTTCTTAGCGCTCATGTTTTAATAATAACGGTAGAGCACAAGTTCGAAGTCTTGCCTCGGTTTACTCTTATGCTGGATTTTTCCTTTGCTGAAGAAGGACGAACAATGAATTTCCATATGCTGTAAATGTCTGCTGACACAAAATTTGACACTTATAGCTGAATAGGGACATGATTAATAGCAGCTTAGAGCCAAAGGCTACTCTAGACAAAATATCCGTTAGCTCAAAAAGAATACCAAAGGGAACTAATGTGTGCTCACTTACGTTTCACTTTTGGCAACCAAAAGAAAAGGACATATTAATGGCTTTGATCAAATTCCTGTATACAGCTGACAAACTTTACATTTTGAACTTATCCGTATTGGCTCTAAGTCTTGTGTTGGCTCACTGTCTCAACTCAATATTTGAAAAGCGTTCTAAAAGGATTTTCGAGAGCGTTTAATTTCCAACTTCCTTAAAATGGGAATTTCGAGCTCCCATATTGTCAAAACACATGTATTTGTAAACGGTTGAATCAATCATACGACCTCCCAAGCACC